TGCATTGTATTCCTGACTTCATTAAGAGCAGGGCACAGTATGATTCATGAGGTAATCATGTTTGTGAATGCCTCTACGTCTTGTAACGGGGGAAGCAATGAGCTGCACTCCACTTAAAAATAAAGGTAACTTGCCACAGCCCATCACATTAATCTTAATACTTTAACCTGTGTAATTAAGCTGCCTTACTCCAGAGACACCCCTTTGTTCTCCGGAATCCGGTCTCAACTTCTGTGCCGTTTAATCAGCAGACCCAGACAGACACTTCTCTGCATCCCGACTATTTGTTTTGTCCCATTCGCTCTGCTTTATCCTTCTAATATTTCTATATTGCACTCATCCATTTTTAAAGAGCTGCTTTCGAGCCATGTCGCGCCTATTATTAAATATGTGCTTTTTGGAATAAATACATCTAAATAAATATGGAGGTGCAAAAGTCATGTCGGGGGGGGGTAAGAAAGATGCCATTGTGATCTCACCGTAATTCTACGGCTTGTTTGTTTAGAATAGATGATTGATTATAAAATGATTTATTATGGCTTTTTTTTGAAAGATTAGAATTAAAATAGCTTATGCAGAATACATTCTTATGCTGAATTGTGTTGCGTGAAAAAGAGTTGTATTTACTACTTTAACTAATACTACTAGTAGTTTTTTGTTTATTGAACAGATTACACCCTCATTCATACCCAGAGCATTGAACAAACGAAACCGGTGCTCAAATCTTCATGCTGACTAGGATTACTGTAACTGTCATTCATTGAGGTGCAGCTCTTAGAAGATCGGGAAATCTTGATACCGGTGAACAAAAGCAAAAACAGGGCGCACTCTCTTCATGCATTACCGTGGTGAAACATGAGTTTATTTAACCACTTCCCATCCAGCCCGTGTATATAAATGGCCAGATCGAAGCAGTGCAGAAGCGGGCTGCCGTTCATATACGGCGCCCACATTTTCAGCCTGTGCGCACTCCCTGGGAGCGCGCGGCACCGCAATCCCGATCGCTGTACGGGACCTCTGTGTGAGGTCCCGATCATGTGATCACTGATTGGCCAATCAGTGATCACATGAAAAGTAGTAAGCAAGATTTCACTTCTGACATCATTGCTTACTACATGTAAAACTTTGTGATTTGTATAGTACTGCTTGGACCTTGAAGAAAGGGGCACTCCCGAAAGCTTGTCCTCAAAATTGTATGTTAGTGCAAATAAAAAAAGTATCAAGGACAGTACTCAATTGTTTCTTACTACATGTGAAATCTGTGAATGATCACAGAGATCACATGGTACAAGGCTATTCGCAACAGCCTTGTACCATGTGACAAGCTGTGACCAACCACAGCTCACACAGTATTTCTCAATGGCTGCAAGAATTGATTGCTTTTACAGCATTTCTGGGTGTAAAAGCAATCAGTGTAAAATAAATAAATCTTCATCACCTCCCACAAGTAGTACAGTGTCACTATGGTGACACTGTACTGCTAGGGTGACAGTATGTTAAAAAAAAAAAAAACCAAAAAAATAAATAATAATATAAAAATATAAAATAAAAATGTAAAAAAAAATTTGAAAAATTATAATTTTTGGTTATAAACTAATTTGGGTTATTTTTTTTTACTAAAAAGATAGCTGAATACGTTTTGGACAAGATTTATGAAGAAAGATTATATATTTGCAAAAAACTTTTTTTCAAAATGTTTGGACTTTTTCGATTATTTAGCAAAAAAAAATAAAAATCCCAGTGGTGAATAAATACCATCAAAATAAAGTTTTATCTGTCTCCAAAAAATGTAAAAAAATTAATATGGGTACAGAGTTGCATGACTGCGCAATTGTCATTCAAGTGTGACAGAGCTGAAAATTGGCCTGGACAGGAGGGGGTAAAAGTGTCCGGACTTAAAAGCATAAAAATGCATACTCACAAACCAAAGGGGGGTAAAACAGAGAAGAAGAGTCCGTAATGACGGTCCAAAGTGACGTTAGACCCTTGGTGAGGTAGGTCAACCCATTTCGGGAGATGAAGCTCTGAAGAAGGGAGTTTGTCTCCCTAAACTCGTTAGCTATCTCACCAAGGGTCTACCGTCACTTTGGACCATCATTAAGGACTTTTCTTTGTTTTTTCTCCCCTATGGTTTGTGAGTATGCATTTTTGTGCTTTTACATAAACTCGTGTTTCACCACGGTAATGCATGAAGAGAGTGCGCCCTGTTTTTTCTTTTGTATACCCTGAGCATTTTGAAATGCATTTCCAGAAGCACTTCAATGCTTGACATCAATGGGTCTGTTAGTGCGCCATGTTTTTGCTTTTGTTCACCAGTATCAAGATTTCCCGATCTTCTATGTATAAAAAATTTGCCAATGTTATTGGCTTCTGAATGCCTGTGCTTTTATTTTTTTTTCTAAGTGGTTGTAAACCCTTACATATACCCAGTGAAGTGACTGGCCTCAGGTGATACACAGAGATATACCAAATCCTCCTACCAGGGGCGGACTGACAACTCGTGGGGCCCCCGGGCAGTAGGGGATCATGGGGCCCCTGTGTCCTTGCCCAAACTCAAAGCACACCCAAAAAAGCCTATAAAAGGTACCAAGGGCAATTCATGGGGCCCCCTACTGACCCCGGGCCCTCGGGCAGTGCCCGAGTGCTCGAATGGTCAGTCCGCCCCTGCCTCCTACATAAGTTGTACCAGTCTTCTCTCTACATCTGTTCAAAGTGGCGAAGTTATATAGGTTGTCTGAGAGTTCAGATAAAAAGGGTGGAGAGCTGAAATTACACACTGCAGATCTCAGTGAGGAAAGCTGATTGAAGGGAAGAGACTCACCTCCTTCACACAGATCACAGGAACAGAGCTGAGGCTGTCAATCTGCTGGAGGTCTCTCCCATGTCACCATTTTCCTCTTGGTGTCAGGAAAACTTGCCAGAAGTGATTCATGCTGATAATAGACACAAAGCAGCAGACAGAAATGACACTTAGTCTTCTGGATTGAGACAAGTACACACTATAGAGGGATATGCTTTGTTCATATTTCATGTCTGAGGTTTAAAACCACTTTTTTTAATGGGAACACCATGCCATGCCCCCGTTCACTTGTATATGTCACATTACGCCGCATACAATGAGGGGTAATTTTTGCTGCAACGCAAACTATGTATATACCCCTGTGCTCAAAGCAGAACTGATGGTATAAAGTCAAAAATTATGAAGTGGCAGGCTTTTTTTGTGCAGAAGAGACATGCAATGTCACTTCTGAAATAAATTACACTTACCTGCCTGTTCACACTCCCACATCAGAGAATGTACACTGAGCTGCACATGCGCAGTTCAGTTTATAGTCCGACACACTCCCTTTGTGCCAGGACGACTGCACTCCTGCATGAGAGTGACTTCATCCTGTGCTGGCCAATTAAATCCTCTGGAGGGCAAGTGGTTTAAAAACTAAAAAGAACCTAAAACGATAATATCAATCTAATCCTGTCTCATTTTTTGCCTAGTTTTGATGCTGCATGCATTCAGACCACACACCAGGTCCAGTTACTTAGCGGCAGGGGAAGACTGACAACTCATGGGGCCCCCGGCCAATAAAATATAATGGGGCCTCTTGTGTCTCCGCTTACACTCAAGCCAAAGCCACACCCACACATATAAAACATTTGAATATGCAGCGCTAGATGTTATATAAAATCATGATTCATGTATAAAAAGAAAAGATTGATTTAGTCCCAGATACGGAGTCCTCCAAAAACCAAAATTAATATATATCAGAAATGCTCCATAAGGTGATAAAGAAGTCCACCAAGTAGCCAAACTGGTCAGGTGAGAAAATAGCAAATTCCTTGTAGTAATGGTTTTATAATGTGCTTACCAGAACTACATACAAACTGCGCGTTGTATGTAATCTGTAGAAAACATCAGGGTCTGGTCACCGGTATGATGTCATCAGAACGCCTTGGCGGACTCTCAGAGATGATATTTAGTCACGCTCCCGGTCCACCTCAGGACTCACCAATGGGTCCACCGTCGCTCAGACACTAGATGTAGATCCACCTTAAGGAGGCTCGTGAAATAACAAGCCAGGGAAGCAAGATGATGCTAATAGTGTAATATAGCCTCTATTGGGTAGAATGCAAAAATAGTCAAAAGAGGCACTCACATCAAAGCATAAAATCCTGTAGATGATCCATAAGAATAAACAAGCAAAGTCAGCGTCGCATTGAGGGATTCCCCTGACATGTTTCGTGTAAATCACACGTTTTCAAAGGGGTGAATCCACTCAATGGGACGCCATGTAATGAAGAGACAGCGGCGCCTGCGCAGTATGCGCCTTGCGCCGCCGTTTACGATCACGCATGCATACATAACCTCACCTACATATTGCAGCTCAGCTGCATAGAAAGGGCATTAAAAATAATTAAACAAAATAATAAAACTACGCCGTGGGGTCCCCCCTCCATCCATACCAAGCACTTCTGGTCTGGTATGGATTTTGAGGGGAACCCCCATGTCAAAATTAAAAAAAATGGTGTGGGGTCCCCGCCAAGATCCATACCAGACCCTTATCCGAGCATGCAGCCTGGCAGTTCAGGAAAGGGGGGGGGGGCAAGCGAGCGCCCTCCCCTCCTCAACCATACCAGGCCACATGCCCTCAACATGGGGGGTGCTTTGGGGCAGGCCCCCCCAAGCACCTTGTCCCCATGTTGATGGGGACAAGAGCCTCTTCCCCCCAACTTTGGCTTGTTGTTGTGGGGGTCCACGGGCGGGCTTAACGGAATCTGGAAGCTCCCTGATCCCGTCACCCCCATGTGAATGAGTATGGGGTACATGGTACCGCTACCCATTCACAAAAAAAGTCTAGTGTGAAAAAAAGACAGGAGACAGTCTTTAACAAGTCCCTTATTAAAAGAGGTAAAATAAAAGAATGTCCCCGAAGTAGATCCAATGTCAATCACGATGCCAACTGCCGCTACCCGCTCGTCTCCCCCTTTCCTGACCTGCGGGCTGCATGCTCGGATAAGGGTCTGGTGCAGGGGCAGACTGACCATTTGGAAACTCGGGCACTTCCCGAGGGCCCGGAGTCAGTAGGGGGCCCCATGAGATGCCCCTGGTACCTTTTTGGTAGACTTTTTTGAGTTTGGGCAAGGACACAGGGGCCCCATGATCCCCTATTGCCCGGGGGCCCCATGAATTGTCAGTCCGCTCCTGGGCCCCATGATCCCCTATTGCCCGGGGGCCCCATGAGTTGTCAATCCGCCCCTGGTCTGGTGTGGATTTTGGGGGGGACCCCCAGCCATTTTTTTTTAAATTTTGGCATGGGGATTCCCCTCGACATCCATACCAGATCCAAAGGGCTTGGTATGGATGGAGGGGGGACCCCACGACATATTTTTATTATTTTTTAAATTATTTTGAATGCCTTTTCTATGGTATGGCTAGGTATAGATGGAGGGGGGGACCCCACAACATTTCTTTAATTATTTTTTTAATTGCCTGCAATTCTTTCTTTTACATTCAGCTGTCAGTGGGGAACCCCGCTGACAGCTGAAACATTAACGCATGGTTTTCACTACTAAAATACCGCATGTCTTACCGCATGTCTTGATAAAATAACTCATGCGGTATTTTAGTAGCATTTTTTGGTCAATTCAAGCGTTTTTTTTAAATGCTATGCGGTATCCTACCACATACTCGGATGCAGTAAGATACCGCTTAGTGAATTGTGCCCAGTGAGCCTCTCACCGGGCTTCCTACTGACCCTGGGCCCTTGGGCAATACCCGAATGGTCAGTCCGCCCTTGCTCAGCGAGTCAAGACTGGATCATAATAAAAAATGTTGTCCATTGATACCTGTCCGGGAACCTTGATTTGTCTGTGTACAAATGTATTTGTCGATAATCTGGTCCAGTGTTAGAGGGAGCAGTTACATAAAACAGCAGTTTGTGAAATAGACAGTGTAGATTATTAGAACATTTAAAAAGGTAATTTGTCATTTTAGTATACAGTACAAATGTTTACTGTGGTATAAAATCCCTGCTATAGGTGTCACACTAATTTTACAATGAGCTCTCTAAGCAGAACCAGAGTCTGTTTTGTAGTGAAATGAATCGCTGTATAAAGGTCGGAAATTTATTAGGTTGTTAAAAAGATTTAAAATGCTTGTTTGCTTGGAACATTTGAAACCTGAAACTTGTTTGAAAAGCTTCATTTTTTTCTGGATTTGTATTGTGGCTGTCTGTGGGCTACTGGTCTGTACTACTTAAAACGTTCTAAATACTCTGAATTATTAAGTAGTTATTAAGGCAGTATTTATCATCATCTGTTTTAACCACTTGCCCTCCAGAGGATTTACCCCCCTTCCTGCCCAGGCCATTCTTTGCGATACGACGCTGCGTTATTTTAACTGACAATTGCGCGGTCATGCAATTATGTACATAAATGTCAATTATGTCCTTTTTTCCCCACAAATAAAGCTTTCTTTTGATGTTATTTGATCACTTGTGCGGTTTTTATTTTTGGTGTTTTAAAAAAAAAATACCGACAATTTTGAAAAAATATATATTTTTGACTTTTTGCTATAAAACATATCCTGTAAAAAAATTTTAAAAATCAAATTTCTTCATAAATTTAGGCCAAAATGTATTCTGCTACATGTCTTTGCTAAATAAAAAATCCCAATACATGGTTTACGGGAAAGTTATAGCGTCTACAAATAGCAGTGCATATACTGGAATTGTAATTTACCGTTTTCTCATACTAGTAATGGCGGTGATCAGCGAATTATAGCGGGACTGAAGGATTGTGGTGGACATTCTGACACTGGGTGGGAACTGACTAACTGCCACTGACTTCCTAATGACACTGAGACTGTAATAATGACACTGGGCAGGGAGGGGTTAACATCTGGGGTGATCAAAGGGTTAACTGTGTGTTGTTTTACATCATGTGTTGTGTGTGTTCAACTAGGGAAACATGCTGCTGTGTATTTCTCTGCTGTGCAGAGAAATACACAGCAGCATGTCCTTACTGGAAGGAGAGAGACCTGTGTTGTTTATACACAGGTCTCTTCCCTGTCAGTTTTACTCGGCGATCGCCGAGGCCCAGCAGGAAATCTCCGTCCGGGACCCGGTGATTGACATCCGTAGCTGCCAATGGCAATGGAAAGTCAAAATGTACTTGTGGATTGAAGATGGAAGAAACTCAGAAACACCATATAGCCAGAAGGGTTGCCCAGGAATTAAGTGTTCAATACCACTCAAGCAGGTCCCTCTCAGAGCCACTGGACACTGGGCAGGAAATGTCTCGGGTCCAGCATCAGTGAAAATAACCCTGGCCTCAGAGTTGGTGGTCAGTAGGAGGAAGAGTAGTACCCCATTATTGGCACTAATAGGTGGAATAGTGTCCCATGATTGGTGCTAATGGGTGGAATAATGCCCCATCATTGGTATCAGTGGAAGAAATAGTGTCCCATTGTTGGCGTTAGTGGGAGTAAAAGTGCCTCATATCATTGGGAGAAATAGTGCCCAAGGGCCGAATAGAGGCTAGCAAAGGGCCACAGTTTGGAGACCCCTGGTATATATTATCATGGACTACAGAGCTAGCGACCTGTTACATTTACCACCTAGTGGCAGACAACATTTACTACACATCCTGTGCATTGGATCATTTTCCATATGCTGAACAACTCTAACTGCTAAAGTGGAGGAGAAAAGAGTATATCTTTCTGTTTAATCCTTCCACTTATACCTCATGAATTCATTCTTGCTGCTGGATGCCTTTTTGTTAAATAATTAAGTGTTTGTCATTAAATATATTCCACATGCATATTGTAACACTTCATCCTTAGCACTTCCCTGCATCCTGTTTTAACTTTGGTGAACTTCTCCCAACAAAAAGATTAGTTTTTTAGGGACACGGATAAGAGATTGCTAATATGCCTGACATCAAATATTTATTTATTTCAGGTACTTATATAGCGCCATCAATTTACGCAGCGCTTTACATATATATTGTACATTCACATCAGTCCCTAACCCTCAAGGGGTGTGCAATCTAAGGCCCCTAACTTACATTCATACATACACATAGTAGGGCCAATTTAGACAGGATCCAATTAACCTACCAGCATGTCTTTGGAGTGTTGGAGGAAACCGGAGCACCCGGAGGAAACCCACTCAAGCACAGGGAGAACATGCAAACTCCATGCAGGAGCCGCCATGGTTGGGAATTGAACCCATGACCCATTTACTGCAAGGCAGACGTGCTAATCACTAAGCCACTGTGCATATATATATATATATATATATAGACGCAATTAAAATGTATCATTCATTTCTGCAGAGTCAATCATACAGTAACCTGGCTCAGAAAAAAGTCCAGCTCACTGAAGTAGTTATTTATCTTCAAAAGTTGTGGCTTGGAGCTTTTACATGGCAAAGTGCTCTCTTCCTGAACCCACATGTCTAGCTGTCACATGGTAGGAAGGAGTATAAGTCATTTGCTTCCCTATGCCCCAAAGTACAGGGTAGTCTTTGTAACCCCTAAGCATGGAAACTGCAACCAATGTAACTATGCATTCTCTGACTGGATGAGGTGGAGAGTGTGATGTCACCACCCCACTTTTCCACCTCAACCTATCACAGAACACTTTTCAATCATTGAGATCTCTGAATGGAACCCGCACCCAGTGGCCAGTCTCCTGTGTTCACAACACAGCAGGGCAGCCCTTTGGCACAGGACCTGGAAGCTAGTGGAGGTCACAGCAGTAGTTTTGCTACTATGGTGATTTCTAGCTTCTAGAGCAGTGGTTCTTAACCTGGGTTCGATCGAACCCCAGGGGTTCAGTGAGTCAGTCTCGCGGGTTCGGCAGAGGTGAAGACCCTGATTTTCAGGAAAAAATATTGTGTACCCGACTCATATGATTCGTGCAGTCAATATTCATTATTATGTTTTTGTTTTTGTGTGAAAATCATGTTTTAATGGTTTTGTTCTTTGTTCTTAACGGTTTTGTTCATTTTGTGCACCTATGTATAAATATATACCTATGTTTTGAATTTTAAAAATCATATTTTATTTTTCCAATTAAGAAGGGTTCGGTGAATGCGCATATGAAACTGGTGGGGTTCAGTACCTCCAACAAGGTTAAGAACCACTGTTCTAGAGGGATCCCTCAGATAAGAACCCCATTTACTGTTTTTTTGTAAACATGCCTTTTACAGGGGTCTTCTGGTCAGTCATGTAATGTGCATGTTCCTCTTCTCTTCTTGTCCAGTTCTCTAGAGCTTTGTGTGCAGGGTGTGATGGTACACCACAGGGGGTGAGTCAAATGCACTTAGGCCTATAGGAAGTGGGTTGTATATAGTTGCCTGCCATTCAGTCTAGGAGACTAGTGTCAGTAACAAGAGGAAAACGATGAGTCTTCAGGGCACATTGCTGGTAAAGCGGTGAATTTTGCAGCAGTCTGCAAAAACTAGAGTTGGGTTTTTGGCTCCATGCATACCAAGTGTTACTAAACCCAGGACCCTGCATTCGCTATATCTGGTCTCCCACAGTACACAGAACATGGAAATGCAATATATTTTAGTAAATATAAATACCTTTTCTAATCAGCAGTATATAGCAGTCTTGTGACTTCTATCAATGTCCAGCCATGCACTTGTTAAAGCTTGTAGGAGGAGTTTTCCTTCTCCTTTGACTATCCTATGAGGCTACATAACCCCTGACCCTCTGTCTGGACAGTGCTGATTGGTCCTGTGCTGATCACATGCATAGAAAAAAAGAGAACATCTGAAATAAACAAAAACTCTCTGGCAATACACACTAAACTGAGCATGTGCAGAGTGACTCCTAGAGCTCTGTAGTATCAGCAGATGAATTGGGGACAGTGGAAGAAGGGGAGGATCAGAGAAGACAGGATCAAAAAACCTTTTTATAGAATGTGGAGGATTAACCCCTTAAGTTCCACAGTAAGTATAACAAGCATGCTTTACTGCATACACAGACTGATTTTACTGTTGTGGGTTTAATAACACTTTTAAAAAAACGCAGCAAAAAAAGTTAATGAGCGTTTTTTGTCCTAGCGTTTAGCAGCGTTCTAGAAAAAAATACTCTCAGTAGCTGTATTAACCCCCAGAGCGCTGGAAAGTTAACTCTGTAGGGGGTATGGGGGAGGGGGGCAGAGGACGGAATATTTCAGCTATGACAGTAGTCAGCAGCACAAGGGACACTTCTGATTGATTGTAAGTATTGTCCCTTGTGCTGATATTTAAAAAAAATTGAATTAATTTAGACTTCAAGGAAAATGACCAAGTGACAGGTAGTCCTAAATATACATAAACGCCTTCCTGTTCTTCAAAGGGG